AATTTTGGAACGAGGCAGATCTGTGAGAAGGAATGTAAAGGTCGGAAGGTCGAGATCTTGTGGAAAGGGAGTGGACTGAGAACTTGTATTTGTACTGGGGTATATGCGTACCTCTTGAGATTCCGAAAACAAAGAAAATCAACTATATATTTTTGAATGCTAAATACACCTTGAACAGAACATACCTGACCCTCAACTCTTTTACTCCATTTTTCGCAGTTCAGGTTCAGTTTCTGTTCAAAGTATATATATATAAATATATAAATATATAAGATATAAGATACAATGTTCAAATTAACCCATCCACTAAGGTTTAGCTGAAAGGTAGGACGTAAGTAGGGATAATAGATAAATAAATAAATCCGCGACATCCCCTGGAGGAGACAAGGCCCACAATAAGAAGGGCTGTATTACAAAAGAGCAAACAATGAAGCCGTATAATAGATTGGTCGACGGCCTCCCGACTATAGACTGCAGAGAGAGATACGGTGGCATCCGCGATGGCTATCAGTGGCATAGATCTGCTTATGGGGCTCTTCCGACCGTATTCTTTTCTTCCCTATTGTACGCCCGCCTGTTCATCCCACCATATGTCCCCATGAGAAGCTAATCCCCAGCTGTCCCCTAATCCCCTAATTCCCAGGTAGATCCGCTATCCTCCGCGGGGATCACTCCCCCGTCCTGCCCTGGGGGTTCCTACCTCTTTGTCACCTTTATAAGTTTATATTTTTATTGCACCTTACCTTGCGATTAGCAACAGAACTAAGCGAAAATACATTAGAGATGATAAAAAATCTCGAATATATAAATAAGAATATGAGTTTTAAAAATAAAGTACTCCTTTAATAATGAAGAGAAGAATAGTTGGGGTGATCAGTCAAATAATAAGGCAAAAATAAATGATAATATTTATTTTTGCCTTCTTATTTGACTGATCACCCCAACTATTCTTCTCTTTATTATTCACGACCCGAGGCGGATCTACGGGGGGCGGGAAGGAGGGGGAGTTTTCGGGCTGAAGCCCCCCCCCCAAAATGGTAAAATATACAGAAAAAAATATTAAAAACAACCTCTTAAAGTATTCTTGTTCGTTTAATTACATTTAATATGACTTCAAGAACCACTTAAACACCATTTCATATAGGTAGTTAATTCTTTTTTAAAAAAAATAATTATTGTTATATGTATATGAAAAAAAAAAATCTTTCGGGCTGAAGCCCCCCCCCAAAAAATTAAATTCTGGATCAGCTAGTGTTCACGACAGTCAACCATTTACCCACAATTACTCCTTTAATATGGCGTTCTCTTACTCATCCTCCGCTAGTTTTAAATACCAGTGAAGTGGTTGAGAGAGAAGCGCAGAGATCTCCTAAGTATCGCTTTTCCCTCCACATGTGGGAGGACAAGATTAGTTCTTTTATCTAAGATGTTTATTTTACTTTATTTTATATTTTTACGTACTTATGTGTGTATGTATATATATATATATATATATATATATATATAATTTTTTTTTACTGTCCTTATACCATTTTATTTTGTTCTTATTTCTATGTATTCTTTTGTTATTACTTTATTTATTTATACTTCTGTATTCACGGTATGAATGTACTCTCTGAACTTAAGTGTTAAGTGTCCTTAACTGAAACAGATTATAATATTTCTCAATAAAAAAGTTTAAAAAAACCTTATTTCTATTAAAAAGGGATCTTACACATGAAATGATAAGATAACCAATCTAAATAAAAATTTGTTTTCATTACTTTGAATTCAGTTTGTTTTAAAATATTCACGAGATCTGACTCAGTCGTTAGAAACATATAACTTAAAAAATCGGTCAAGCCCTTCGCTCAATATTAGCAAAATTAAATATATTTTGCATACGTCAGTTTTTTATACACAAAATTTAACTTGAAAATCAGTCCAACTGTTCTCTCAAGAAATTGTTAATTTAAAGTTTCAGCTATTTTTTTTTTTTTTTATTTAAATGGATTGTACGTATGTTATTCATTTACGGAACAGTGCATTTAGCTAGATTTTTTTCAAAATACTCACTAAATATTACCGAAAAAATTGATCCACCAAACTTTAAAATTTGGATTGATTTAATATATTTTTATCGTTGCTCTTTTATTACACTGTTAAAGCTATATATATACTAATTTCGATCTGTATTTATATGATTTTTTATTTTTCTTATCTGATGGTAGGAGTGTGGTACCTCACTGGTAGGGCACTGATTTTCCAATGTCTAGTTCCCGGGTTCGAATCCCGGCTCATGGCAGAAAAATTATTTATTCTGGTTCATGAGGCGTGGTGCGACGCTGGGGTCAGAAGACCCTCCTGGGGTACATCCAGCCTCTATAAAGCGAGTACTCTTAATTAAATAATTGGTTAAGGAGGAAAACCTGGCGGTTGAGTGTGATCTCAGTCAAATCACCTCCTTGACAACCGTTGACTAAGAAACAGTACTTTCCCTAAATAGTAAAGAAGCCAAGACCATTCATGGGTTTTAGCTGGTTAATTATTTATATATAAGAGAAGTTAAAAGATATATATATATATATTTTTTGTGACATCATCGTTTCAAATAAATAAAATGGTTAGAGTGATGACAAGATAATGAGGTGGGAAATAAAAGCCAACTTCTGGAGTCAGTTGGAATTGGCTTAATAAACGACGAGAGGGGAGGAAAAGTAGAGTAAGAAGATAGGAATTAGCGACTGGGTTAATAAGAGCCCTTAATGCCCTCAAGACTCCACAGGTCCCCCCTCGAAGACTCCCTCCCACAGCCGCCCCCCCCCCCAACACCAAGAGTAGATGTTATGACTCATCCAGTCTCCTTCATTAGCTACGAAATCCTTCTCTCAGGTAGTCTTTATCTTTAAACGATCGACTACTATTACGCCTCATCTTTCACTTACCATTATATATCACAATGGTGGTACTGATTTAATATTTTTTTTTTATTTACGCAATGTACATTTACATGAATATGTAAATAAATGATTTACTAATGGGAATTTTTCCTCCCTCCATTTGCCCATAAAAAAAGACCACAAGAAACAAAATGAAAATAATTTTATTATTCTGGGACTGATGTCCATTCAGAGCAAATTTTAAATAGAGAAATAATAAGACAAGTCAATGTGGTCCTAAATTAAATATGTATATAATAATAAACAATTAAAAATAAAAATATAGAGAGAAAAAAGAATATATATTTTTTTCTAAATATATATATATATTTTTTTTAATTGCTGACTGAGTTGTTACTGATAATTTTTTAAGATGGCTCTGATTTTGATCAAACTCGTTATATAAAATGTAAAATCAAGTTATTCTTTATATCAGCCGGATTTTCAAAATTTATTCCTCTAAAGTACATTTAATTTTGTTCAGTTAAAATAATTAATCATTTCTCATTGCAACTAGTAATAAATAAATGGTTTAATATAAACTATGAACGAGTTTATAATTAACTAAAGGAGAACTAAAGATAAGTCCTAGATAGAAACTGTGAAACAGCCGAAATCGTCAAACTATAAGGCTTTCTATTGTTCTTGATTCTTCATTTAATTGTTGACATATTCCACTAACCCGTAATTTAAAAAAAAAAAAAAAGAAAAAGAGGGTTTCTTTTTGAAATTTTGAGGATCTACAAATATTCCACTTATTGTATATGTTATATACTTATTGTATATAAAATAACACATCTATACTAATATTTTGGTTTATTATTTTCAATAATGAAACATTGTAATCGACCAAAAAATTCAAAAACATAACTCCCTCTCAAAATTTTAGGTTTCACGTTTAAAGACGCATAGAATTCGAAAAACGAATGAAAATTTTTTGTCCGTCCGCCGTCCTAAACTACTGGACCGATTTTTTTCAAATTTTGATATAAAATCAGAGGTCACCCGAGGATGATCCTCCTTCATCGACATTACTCTCCGCCTTTAACTTTCAAAATGACGGCTGAAAAACCTGCGTTGCTATAGACTGTAGCTCCTAAACGAATGTACAGATTTCAATGAAACTTCGGCAAAGTCATTTTCTCGAAGCCCTTTAAATTTATCTATATAACATACTTCAACGAAAACAAGCTGGAAAAAAAGTTAGGAGGGATGGTAAAATTAAATTCCGAATAACTCGAATAGTTTTTTAAAAGTTTACGAAATTTCCAAAAAAAAAGAAAAATCGTTAAAATCGGACAATTAGGAGTAAAGATATGGTCTCCGGTTTTTTTTTTATGTGTTCTACTCCAAATGTTATATCCTTTCTTGGGTTTTTAAATTTGTATTGCGTTACTGATGTAATGCTATTTTTTTAAGCATATTACGAATGATTAAAAAAAAAGTTTATTCCAACAATTGAAATCACCTTTTATTTATTTTCTTTGTAACTATGAAGGTAATGTTACTTAAGATGTATAATTGTTTGGAGATAATAAACCATTGTGAAATAATTCGCAGCGGTTTTTTTTTTTTTTTTTATTGAGAAATAATACATTTTGCCACACTTAAGGGCACTGAGTACTAAACCTGAGTGAGGCACATTCATACCATATATACAATACAATAAAAAAAAAAAAAAAAAAAAAAATATACATATATATAACAAAGGAAAAAAATATTATAAACCAAGGGAATGTAACTTAGAGTTAAAATTAAATTAAATATAAGTAAAAGAAATAAATGGAAAAACATTCATACTTAATTACAATTTTACTAATATTAACTCTATTTTCTATATAGCTAATATTATTAAATTTCTTTTAAGCTACACATTAATCCTTATTTTCATACTATGAACCTCACCATAATTTTTTTGTATGGTAATTCATATATTTTTTTTTCTTCTTCCGTTTTCCTCCTTTTTGGTTATGGATTTTTTTTCTTGAGCCAGAGAAGAGACCGGGGGGATTCGTGATTATTAACTAATTAATATTATTTTATTTTATACTTATATAATAATTATTGTTTTTGTTATTCCAGAAGCGAACTGCTCGCCGGCCATGATTGCACCAGGCAGCGAATTGCTGCCGCCCCCACTGCCTCTCCTCCCAGCTCTGCCGCCGCCACATGGTTCCGCCTTCAAACCACCCCCCGCCAGCCCGAAAGAGAACAAGACGAAGCCGAATGTTTGGAGGCCGTACTAACCACCGCTGTGATCATCAAATAATTATGTTATTACTGTAAATAGTAAGACAAAGAAAGATTTATATACCAAGAAAGAGAGATTTTTATTGAAATTTGTAATTAACTGTAAATAATATAAGATAGTTATTGTAAATATATATATATATAAATGATTAATTATGTATAAGTTTAAATACAAGTTTATATTGTGATCATTTGTGTAAATAGACATAGAAACTATCGAAGTTAACTTTAACAAGATTTTATTGTTTATAGCTTAAGTGTTGAATTTTAAGAACAAGGCTTCATGGAAACAAATCTATTGCCAGGAGCAATCTGAAATAATAAAATTTAAAAATATATAATTTATATGTAAAATATATAAATATTTATATCTTATATCTGTTGAACTTATTTTTTCAATCACCTAAATTGTCAAACAAATCTCAAAACTTCATTCAGTATGAAAAAAAAGTTCAACATTTTAGAATTGAATAGAACATAATTTTATTCTTGTACAAAGCCCCTTTAGCATAACAGAACAGTACAAAATTAAAATATTACATCTGGACTAAATAAAAAAAAAAAAATTAAACATACAATATACAAAACAACAAAACCTACACTTAAAACTATGTACAGTGGTGAAACATAAATATACATTTTTAGAAAACAATAAAAATACATTAAATACGAACTCGATGTTTCTGCAGAAAAAGAAAGCTGAATCTGATAGTAAAAATTGGAACAGGATGATTTTAAATATAGATATGGAAGGGGAATGCCGAATTTTGATAGGAACGGAATTCCAGAAATTAACAGAGCGGGCAATAAATGAGAAAATCAGTGAGAAGGGATGTAAAGATCAGAAGGTCGAGATCTTGTGGAAAGGGAATGGACTGAGGACTCTAATTGAAGTAAGGATGATGAATGTTGATGATTTGATAGAGGAACGTACCTAGAAAATATTGTCTTCGGAAGGAAGGGAAGAGCCACCGTAACTCGGTGTAGTGTTGAGAGACATTTATATTATATATAAATGTTTGTTTATATATACATATATTACTTTCGCTTACCTAAGTATATATATATAGATATATATATATGTGTGTATGTATATACAGTCTCGCTTAAAAACGAACCAAAAATGTTTTTTTTCTCATTAAAGGTTAGAATTATAGTACACACACACACACATATATATAGTTTATACATACAATTAGAATTATATATATATATATATATATATATAGCAAGAATTAAATATTTACATTTTGCTTATGTAAATATATAAAATAAATATATAAATATGTAAATATATAAACATGTAAATATATAAATATGTAAATAAATATATAAAATAAAGGTGGTTATGTATTAATTAACATTTGTATATAATTAAAATATATAGGAACTTGACAAAAAAAATAATAAAAAGGATAGAAGAAAATCAAGTTGGAATGAATTAGCAAATACCTCTCAAATTATTAAATAGTTATTAATAAGAACTAGATTAAAAATTATTAAATTAACAATTTAATTATTTTTAAAAATCCGTACTGAATCTGGACCTACGGAACGGCTTGGAATAGCTTGAATGTCGAACATACCAAACCTTCCAACCAGAAATAGTGCCAACAATAATCAGTATTCCATATTAAAGCAGAAACATCCTCATTACAATTATCCTTTAAGGTTGAAACGGTAGTGGTTCTCAGACATTTGTAAATATTATTGAGATTCTGGAAATAACAAGCTATTCCAATGAAGTCATGAGCATTTGTTTGTTAGCAGTGCATATGACAGTAAACTTATCATAAAAAAAAAAAAAACACTTTAATAATATGTGTATCTCTTCGTTTGAAAAATATTGATTTTCGCTGAGTTATTAAAAAAACAGCTTTGCAATAACAACTCATAAGGTTCTTGGTTCAGGGATTAACAAGTTTCTTGACCATCAGTTAAATCATGCGTCATGGTCATTATCCACCAACAACCGCCAGAATCATGCCCTATCGAGATATTTTTTATTATTACTATTATTATTATTATAATTATAATTCGAACCCAAGGCCATAAGTTGGTACTCAAGTGGCTACCCCGTTCTTGTCAAAGTAAGTATAATAGAAAATGAAGAACTTTTTTTTTTTTTTTTGTTTATTTATTGAGTAGTACAACAATCTATCTCTTGGACATTAGTTATAGTGAGGTAGGTTAATATTCACACAACATGTACAAAAACTATAAAATAAATAGAAGCAAAATAACAATAAATAATAATAAAAAAGTATATAAATTAAATAAAATAAAATAATCTAAAATATAAGAAAATTAAAACAAAGCAAAAAACACATGCATATCTATACACACTATTTACAATCAAGCAAGGGAACTCCAGGAGAACCCTGCACTACTCTCTCAACCACATCACTGCTACTAAAGCCAGCGGAGATTGTTCGAGAGCACTTTAACCACACACACTCATGTCTTGAGTGGAGAATCTGGCCATTGCCAGAACTCCAATATAAAATTTAAAAAAAATAAATAAATAAAAACTAAAAAAAAAAAAATGAAATATATTCTCCATAATTTAAGCATTATGCTTACTCTTCAAAACTCCGGATGATCGAGGGCAACCTGAATGAGACTTAATTTCGAGACTCACGCTTCACTATTTCATATTTTTTTAAAATCACACATGCACACCCAATGTAGAAACTTAATATTTTACTTTTTCATTTTCTTCAACTTCAGGTTTCCCTCTTGTAAAACTCCGTGGTACAGAATTCTTTTGATCAAATTATTAACATCTGTCTAAAACTTAGTAAACAGCTTCAACTCATCGTAATCAATAACTTTTTTATTAACGAAAATTCTCGGAATTGGAGCTTTTCAATCTGGAGTTGGCCTATTATTATTATTTTTTTATTTTTGTAATATAACATTAAGTCTATTTAACAATAGTTATAATGAGGTAAGACCAAATTCACACTATATAACATACAAATATAAAATAATAATAAAAAAAGTATATTCAATAAATAAAAATATAACTTATTTTTATATAAACTTTATTTATATATAAATAAATAACTAGGATAAATAAATTGAAAAAAGAACACATACATAACTCTTACACTATTTACAATCAGCCGAGGGAACTCCGGGCTTGTCTCTCCTACAGAGGGAAAAACAAGACTCCGAGAAATCCCTGTGCGACTCTCAATCGCGTCACTGGGGCTAAGCCCAATGGAGATTGAGCGAGAGAGTAAATATTAAATATCTGGTTAAATACATAATAAAAACTCATGAACATCTATTTGCATTCCACTTGAGTTTTAATATATTTGGATTAAAAAATCGAGAAAAAAAGGTGGCCTCAAAATAATTGGCTGTTTGGCGTGACCTCAACCCCCAACATTTCAAAACAACGTGAAGTTTTTATTAGTGTTGCCCAAAATCGGTCTTGGTCTTACACTTTGCAAGACCAAGACCAAGGCTGTTAAAAAAAAAAGTAGATTTTTTGAATAAAAATTTAGGCAAAATAGTTACTAATTCTTGGTAATTTTATTAATTATATGTAAAGAATTGGTATAACCAATATACTTTTGCAATTAACTCTTCTAATTTTTCATTGGGACTTAGTTAGATTTCTTCTATCTAAAAAAATAACAGTAATATCTCTATAGTAATAAGCTAATGGGTAGCTGCAAGACTCTCGCAAGACCAAGACCAAGCACAAGACTGGGTGCGCATTTGTGCAAGACTCGTCTTGGTCTCGCATTTGGGCAACACTAGTTTTTATAAAAAATTTTAGGCCAGACGACTCAATATTTTTGTAGGCCATTTTTTTTTAAATGAAATTATTTTAATATTCAAGTGAAAAACAAATAGGTTATTTAAGAGTTTTTATTACCTCATTAACTTCATTTCTGAAAACTTTCTTAGATAAAAAATCTGTAGGTTACGATAATACGAAGCCGTATACGAACTTTTAGGCGGATGTTAATAATTTAATTAAAGTGGGTCTGTCCTACGGACCATTTTTGATAGCTATAATAATATAGTGAATAAAGGACTGTAAGTACAGGCATATTTCTCAGTAGGTAACATATAGTTCGATAGCTTATAAATCCAACATATGAGTTATTCTAAGTTCAAAATTTTTGATTATTATTTTATAGTGATTTTCTATATGGAAAATTTGCAATATCTATACAGACAGTGAGTAAGTTGATTCAAGAACAGATGATTGTAATGTTAATATGGAGAACTGTGAATTAAGGTACAAATTTTCCCACTAGAACTATCACTAAAAATTAATAATAAAAAATCAAAAATCTCAACTGACTCCCGCAGTGCTACATCCTATGCCCTGAAGACGACCTGCAAAGTGGGTCGAAACGTCGGCAAAATTAAATAATACCTATATATTTTAATTTAGTATTTATTTGACCACACCCCCCTCCGATTTTCAATAATCAAAAATGTTGAAATGTTGGAGTTAGTTATTCTGCCAAATGAATAGCTCATATAACAAGGGAATCGACAGATTGTTATCTATTTAAACTAGGACTATTTGTATTATTCATTAAATAAAGTCCTCTATTGCTAAGCGGGAATCGAACCCTCCGCCCTGGGCTGAGCTGCGAAGAACCTTGGCTCCCCCCCGTACTCCCCCCCCCCAACCATTGGGCCATGACGACATCGCATTACCAATATACATCATTACTGCCACCCGCTACCCCGTCCCGCACAATAGGCGTCGCGTCAATTATTTTCGCCTTTATTAAGCAGCACTGCTTATTAACGAAGGTGATTAACTAACTAATAATATAAATTTTATTAATTTTTACAAAAATGTTATTGAAAAATGTTGCAAATTATTTCACAATGGTTAATTTTTTTCCAACAATTATACGTCTAAATTAACATTACCTTTCTAGTGACACAGAAAACGAAACAAAAGGTGATCCCGCTTATTTACCTAAACATTTTTCTTCAATAACACATTCAAAAATCAAAATCCAAAACAAAGGATTTGCAGTAGAACATACACTGACAGGTAAACAATTCCACCCACTTGATTTGTTCATGTTTTCATCTAAAAATATTTCTGGTTTGGATTGGTCTATTGTTTTTAATGAATAAATAGGTTGGTAGGCGCCGCACAGAATTGGTTGTTGTTCGCGGAGGGTCTTTGACGGCTATTCGCTATGTAGATGAGATTTTGGAACCTCGTGTGTTGCCTATCCTCAACGAAATCGGCGATCGTTCTATTCTAATGCACGATAATGCACGCCCATATGTCGCCCGCATAGTGCAGACGTTCCTTCAACAGAACAATATTGAGGTTTTAGCCTGGCCAGCACGTTCTCCAGATTTGAACCCCGTTGAGC